GAAATATACTACCTTCGATCCTAATTATAAGAGCTAGTTGATTAATTTGAAGAAATTAAAAAAAGAAGTTAAGTTAATTATTTGTAATAAATAAGTGTTGTATTTCCTAAAATACCCTTACTAATCAAGTAGGTTGGCTAAAACTATAATTATTAGAAGGACTATCTTGAAAAAAATTGAGTAAATATAAGAGACAAAATGGATTGGGGTCTTATATTTAAGACCAACAAAAAAATCAAACAAGGTCTTATGTTAAGAACCCGAGGTAGTATAACCAAACATGCTAGAAACGAGTCTTGTCAATGGTCTATCTATTTCTTCCGACTTAAGTGGGTGTACCGTATGCCTCAAAATCCCCTACTATAGTGCAATGCTGAAACTTTGCCACTTGCAGGCCGAACAAAAAGTTGCATTCTTATAATGAAATGGAGCAGCGGGTATTTATGCATACCCTTTTCATTAATGCATAATGAATTCAATTTCGATAAAGCTATATTTTCTGCATCATAAAATGAGCGGAAAAAGAATAAGGCACTGACTTACTGTTAAAACAACAACAAAAATCAGAACAAAAATTGATTTACGCTAACTGAAGTGCCCTCAAGATTGAAAGAACCTTGGAATACAAGATAATCTTAAATCAAACCAGAGACTTTCCCCTTAAGCAAGAGAGTCCTTGCTCAATTTCTTAGCCTCAAGACTTTCCTTGTCTTCATGCGTCAAAAGTGGTGAACTGTCCTTCTCTTTAACCTGTGAAGAATCAAGAATATGATCACAAACCAGTGAATGAGACTAATCCCAAACAGGAATAAGAAAAGAAAAGCTCAAGAAGACAAATTACTTACCTGAGAGGCCAAGGAGAGATCAACCTGCTGTTTCTTTTTGTTCTCCTGAGTGCAGAAATGAGAGTACAGGCCCATTCCCAAAATGGCAATCATTATTCCAATAATATTCCTCTCAGTGAAGGGGTCATGGAGCAATGTGTAGCCAAATGCAAGAACAAGACAAGTCTTAAGGTGGCCAAGTACTTGATAAGTTACAGGAGATGTCTTGCCAATCACTAGAAATGTGCTGAAGTTTACAGAAACGGCTATCAAGCAGGACAGAACAATGAATGCCTACAAAGTGCAAATATACTATCAATCATGTGCATTATGCATCAAATATAGTACGTAATTAAGGAGGTTCATTTATAGATAATACCAAGACTATTGGAGAATATTTGTGGGAAAAGACGTTTTGTTTGGTGAGGAACTGATCCACTAAAGGGCCTGAAACAAAAAGAACTGCTGCTTGAAATGGAGCAGAATGGTAGAGAAGTTGTGTTGAAGAGACATTAAGCTTTTTCTGTATAGTATTTGTCAGCTGAATCATGCACAAGGTTAAGAAAAAACAAGACCAAAAAATACTTTTCTGCAAGTAAATTGAAACCAAGCAGTCAGGCTTAACCACAATAGGAAGGATAAGCCCCGTCAAAACTAACTACATTGCTGCGTCAGTGGACATTGCCACCCAAACATGGATCGATATGATAAATTTTCATTGAATCCTTGCACAAACACTTGTATTGCGTGCGTGTGTGTGTGAGAATTTGTTGTAAGCGCTGTAAAGGATACAATTTGGCTGACACACGTGGTTATGATGGCTAAAAGGGAAAGAATGGTGCCAACAAAATTGAGCTGGAGATCTGTGACAGAGGCAATGCCAACTCCAATGAGTAAGAGGAAGAGAGAGAACTTTATTTTCTGGCTGCAACAAGCAATACAAAAGGGTTTGTCATTGAACAACATGAAAATTTCTGACTTTGAATTTCAGAGGCAAAATAAATTGAGGGTTTAATTTACCTGAACTGCTTCTTGAGGAAAACAGTTTCTAGCAACACAGTAAATGGTATAATTGCAAGTTTGGTCATCTACAAAAGGAAACAATCCCAAATGGTAAAAATTAAAATTAAAGAACCTGTTTATGTGGGAGATGAAGGGAAATTTTATTTATAAGAAGAGAGAGTAAAGGAACCTGATAGAATCCAACGGAATTGAAACCGAGGCTCAAGTTGAGAAGGCCAATGGAAACGCCATTTAGGATTCCAAAAAGAGTGACCGTCTTCATGTCAATGGACTTGGCCTCAAAAAAATTGAGGCGTTGTGCAACATGAAGAGTGCAAAATGTAACCATCAGGTGCCAGCTAGTTAATGTTGTGGCTGCCCACAACCAAACAGGAAACAGCAAAGGTTAAGACCACCTACGAATACTCATGAATGTTAATGACCAGGCTTCAAGACACAATACCACAAAACATAACGTCTCACCAGTTTTGATACCCTGGTGTATGCATATGATTCTTTCTTGGTAACATGTTACGTGGTTGATGACTTGTTTTAAAAGAGGTTTCGTGCAATGCAAGAAAAGATAACGGATTGTTTGTCACGCGGGAACTGATTAGTAGATGCTTAGGACTTGAAGATTACAGTCAATAATGAAATCCGCGATTTTTGTGATGATGCAGATCAATATTACAAAGTGAAACAAACTCGTTGGTTTTAACTTTGAAGGACGGGATAAAATGAAGATTACCAAAAGGGAAGCCCAGATTGCTCATCAATGCTTTGTTGCAGATGACTATAGAGACAGAGGAGGCCACTGACAGAAACAGTGCACCCGCCACACCCAACTGGAAGCTCGACATTTCTCCTGTATCTCTGCTGAAAATTCATATATATATATATATATATATATCATGAAATATATTTATGAACATTTGGTACACTGATCATTTTTCAGGACTTAAAGCACAGATGAATCCAGTGCTAAAATCACCAAGATTTGTTTCGTGACAAACATTAAGTGACCAGCTTTAGAAATGAGACTGATGTGTATGGGAAGAGAAGGAAGCTAAGTTGATGAATACATTCATGATTGAGTGCAGGATATGAGACGGAGCTTTTCGCATACCTTTGGAACTGCAGGGGATTGACTGGTTAAACGGCAGCGAAGGAGAAGAAAGAGCAGAGTTGGGCTTCTGTAGGGGAAGGCAGCTTGGGGGAGCGCTTTATTTTCGTTGCGGTTTGGTTGGTGCCTAATGCTGTTTAGTTTGGCGGGAGTCTTGGGGTTTAAGTATAACTCAACCTCCCTCCACGCACACTTAACGGCCACTTGAAGCAATCCATAATACAGTCGGTCAAAACAATTCCCTCATTTGAAGTGAATCACCAAAAAACTCACATTATTGTTTCCAATATGTGTGCCCGTGTCTTTTATCAATATTTTTTTAAATATCTGCGTAAAATAAAAATACCTTATATAATGAATTTAGTAGAAAACATAATCAAATGCTCTGGGAACAAATAAATGTCGTGTGAAAATATTTCATTAATTTTTCCATAACTGAACTGTAAATAAGAATTAAAATACTCATGATTTTCGACAAAAACATATTCGAGGAGTTTTTGAAAGCTGCACCGTTAAATTCTTTCTTTTGAAGAGTAGTCAAGTATTAATGTATACTTTATAAAGGTTAATTGATCAATTTAAAAGGAAAAAAAACTTTTGTGGGTTTGTGCTTTTTGCGCAAAAATGTGGTAAGTTTTACAATGGATGGCTTCTTATAGATGATCACATGCCCCAGAAACCGTGCTTATAATTAAATTTAAAATCTAATCACTCTATTAGGAAAGATAAGAAAGTAAAAGGGCACATTTTTTGAATTTTAAAATAGACCCAAGAAGGAAACGGCTGAATGGTATGAATCAAAGAGGCAGCAGGGATTGTGGGGGAAGGGGTGTGTGTTAGTGATATTTTAGCTAATTTCAATGAACAAACACGTGTTTGAACTTTGAATGCCAAATAAATTGAGTCGTTTTTGGGCCCCCCAAATATATATATATATATATATATATATATTATTTATATATAAATTGAGTCATGAATGAGAAGCGAGAAGGCAACGCTTGTGTTTGTGGGGTATCTCCCAGTTGAAGATTTCCATCCATAGACTTCAACCTTACTCCAAAATGACGCTCCTACCCCCAACCCCCTTTCCTCTTTTCCTCCAGTAATTCATAGCTGTAACATGGGATTATCCAGATCTGGCAAATACTACTATTCTTTTTTAATACTCCTCCGGTCCTTAATATAAGACCCATTTAACTAATTTGATTAGATTAAGGAAGTTAGGTAAGTTAGTTAATTATAAGAAATGTGACACATTTTTCCTAAAATACCATAATCATCTTTCTTAATACCCCATCTTCCTCTTCTATTTGATTATGGTTGAGGGAGTATTTATAGGGGTAATTTAAAGAAAATTGATAAATATGACAAATGGGTCTTATATTTAGGACAAAAAACAACTCAACAATTGGGTTCTATATTAAGGGTTGGAAGAATAATTTATAAATGTGACAATTACAGTTGCCGCTTCCATCCTCACTTCTCACTGCTTCTTGTGACTATAATATGCAGAATGAATTAATAAACAAGTCCGTAGCTCTGAAATTCCTTATTTTTAATTTTCAAACTTTTCTAAGTATTTAAATTTGTCCGTGAAAATGCTGGGGAGAAAACAAGATAAACCATATGTATAACTTGTGGATTGTAATGCGATGCTCTTTAGAATTTTAACTTGATGACATGTATAATGGTTAGTCCAGTTGAATAAAAAAGGATCAAGTCCCATATGAGAAGAATGTGGTGTTATTTAAATAGAACCTAATAATATTTAAACATAATTCAATATACTGAACACCAAATAATTACACTTTAAAGGAAAAAGAGGCCAGATGCAAGATCTTTTTCTTTTTTGTTTTTGGCCAAATAGGCCATACGTAGGACGAGACATCCTTTGTTTCCTAGCCGACACGGCGCATATAATTAAAAGGGACAGAACCTGAGATATGAAAAGGGTGAATGACTCCAATGTAGGCAAGGAAACGATGATTCCACTAACAGGCAAAGCATGTTTGAAAGGGGTATAGCTATAGTCGAAGGGGACGCCAATATTATTAACCCCTAATTCCTTCCAAGAACACCTTATCAGCATCGGTGAGACGAGTCTGGAACAAAGCCCACTCATTTCTGCATCTTGCTCTAACCTGCAAGAGGTTCCAGACCAAACAGTTCATAACGGGTTCCTTGTTAGGGAACAGTAACACTATTCCTGAGTTGGGGGACCAGAACTAGGCTTTGTATCAATCGAATAATCACAAATACCTCCTTCATTGTTAAGTCAATTATAAACACTTTCCTCGATTATAAAAATCGTAGAAGTAAAATATCCTACTTAACTATCACACCACAAACCCAAACCCTTTTGTCCATTTTCTATCAATGCCTTTGATGCAGGCGTAGCAAGCATACACCAATTAATCTGGAAACAATACTGCGTGTGTGTGTGTGTGAGAGAGAGAGAGAGAGAGAGAGAGACCTTGATATGGCATATTCGTTGAAAAAAAAAGGGAAAATTGACCATAAATATTTAAATCCTAAACTGTCGTAGTTGAGGGAGTATTTTTGGTCTTCAAAGTCGAAGGAGTTTGCGAATGACTTGAAGTTTTTGCATTTGTTTTGCTTCAACCCTTTGGAAAATGCTACGGCCAGATAATGTATGTGTGAAGTTAATTACGTACACAACGATGCTTAACAGGGCCACGTCGATATAATAACATAGTAAAATGATTCTATGAGAAATGCACTTACCGCATCCCCTTGCTGTTTTCCGTGATCAGCATCTCCCTGAAAATTATATAACACATTTCATAAAACATTCTGGTTCGCTCAAAATAATTTCATTCACAGTAGAAACGACAGAGGCAAACAACTGGCCGAGTTTTCAGGCACAAAAAGGAAAAAGAAAGCCAGCTAGTATCGTTAAACAGGGGGGGATGAGATGCTTGTATAATAGGCACACTAGGCGACCATTTAGCATCTGATGATATAAATCCTATTTAATTTTCATTTGTTAATCACACTCATGTAGACACATGATCAAGCATTCTAGGCACGTAAAGAAATATAGAACTTAAGCAGTTAGAATTCCTCCTCAAGTTCGCTTATCTCAAGCACAAGTAGATAAGCACCCTCTAGAAACATGTGGACCCAGGCCAGGCTATTCTTATAAATTAGCTATGACTAACCTGGCTCCTGAGAGATGGAACCCCTTGATGAACAATCCACTGCGAATCAACTACACCGATTTTTTCATGTGCTGGCTGCCAAATTGAAACAGAAAGGTATTAGCTTAAAGTAAACAAGAAAATAATTAATTATCTTCTTCAAACTTTGGGTAAGATTTCTGTTAAAGCCAAAAATTTCAGGAGAGACAAAAGAAATAATCCATATCCATGCACACAAATTTCATATAAAGAATCTCTTCAAAAGCCATAGAAAACAGAATCTGCTAACCTCTACACATCTTCTGAGAGCAAAATCCAGTCCCCATCCATGCACTAAGTCGTTCTACAAGCATATGTTGGGAAGTTCGTCAATGTAACTGAAGAGTACACTCATATCGTGGAAAGACAAAATCATGTATTCATATGTGATATAAAACTGAAAACCCAAAAAACCTGAATCATATGCCATACACATCGCCATGCTTCACGAGAAAAGACTGGAGCCATAATTTCCACGAAGCTGAAAAAAACACCAGAAACAATTAATGTAAAATAAAAATGGATAGATAAAAGTGTCGGTAAAGAATATTGTTGCATATCAAGGAGGAAGAGATAATCTACGCAGCACAAGGAGGCAAGTGTGGATCACTGCACCAGCCTGGTTTCTCCTCTGTGAACCTATCCGCCAATCCATACATAGAAATGTTACGAGAATTCATATGTAACATAATAAGACCCTCAGGCTATAGCTGGAGATAGAAAAGGAGGAAGAACAAAAATTACTTGTGAACTGATCTATCACCTCTCCTCTTTGTCATTTCCCATGTTGAATCACTATTTTCAAGAGCAGGTTGAGATATCTCCAAACCATGTTTTTTTATTAGCTCCATAAATCTGGTAATAAAAACACAGTTAGTAACCAAAAATTGCATACAAAGAGGAGGTTTGAGAAGAAAAGATAGGATTTAAACATATATCCATACTTGTCTCCATTGAAGTGTTCCACTCCAAGATCTTCATCCCATATAAAAATATATTCATAAGCTGATACAATATCAGGATGCAAAAACCTCTTAGCATACCACCTGCATACCATCATATATGAAGCACAACAAAAAGTTCAGGGATAGAAGCACAAAGACAACCATTCCACATGATAATCAGCTAACTAATGAATTTGTTGAGTTGAATCTAAACACAAACATTTCATCACCCACTGCAAAATATCTTTCTTCAAGAGAAAAAAAGCTAGAGGGAGAAAATTCATAAACAATGTGAGTCTCCAGCAAAGAAGTAGTGAAAAAAGGGAGGATAAATAACCAGAAGGATATTAACAATGTACCATTTTGTTTGTTTCCTTGCACTAACATGGATCGCTTTCTTTGACCACTCAAATTCATCCCATTCATTAATCCGATTGTCATAATGAAAGAGCAAAATTGCAAAATCATCAGAAAACTACAAAATCAGAAGAGAGTCAATGCATGAAGGCAATATGATAGGAAGGATAAATAAACAAATATATACATATAAAACTGTTCAGTCAATAACCTTTTTGACTGATGCGTCAATGTTATATCTCTGATCATAACCAACAGTGAATGTCACTAAATACTTTGGCTTTTTCTGCAGATCCTTTGGAAATCAAGGTCTTATTGTCAGGCTCATAATATTGATGCTTAAGAAATAGATGCATGAAAAAAGATTGCTTGAAGGCACATGTGAGATATGTATGCATCTCTTGGTGATATGACAAAGCGTGGCACACAGCTAGAGCCCAGAAGGCATAGTAAATATGAAGGATACGGATCAATTTCTGATCCCTCCTGGGTTATGCTTAAGGACCCTGAGAGTTAGTGATTGGAAGACCCAATAATTTGTCATACCTCACTTGGTTCACCCCATAGCCTTCGCAAATGAAAATCAGATTCAGATACAACAATTCCAGGAGGTAGTGATTCTGCCCCATGAGGATTTGTTGGAACATACATCTGGAAACTAGCAATAGTGTCAGAATCGATAATCAAAATGTGTGTGTGTGTGTGTGTTTTTGTGTTTGTGTAATTAAAACAGAAGGCTACAGCTTGCATTTACTGATATTTTTTCCCTTGAAATATTGATGCATGGCAATCAATTCTCCTACACTGAGGGGTAACTTCTTGTTAAATTAAATTTTGCAAGAAAAATATATTGTTAAATGTCAATTCGCCTACACAAGTGCTTGGAAATAATTGATATAGGCAGTAAAAATGGAATCACCTTGTAACAAAAACTTTTTTTTAAAAAAAAATACCTTAGGTAATTTCATTGATCCTAGGTATTCAAGGCCTTCAGTTCCAGAGGACTGGTCTGTAACAGCCTGAGAACGGTTTATGTCAGCTAAAAATTTCTCTATATCAGCTATCGGCACATCAAAAGAACGTCCAAAGCTTGAAGGTAAGCGAATCTGCAACATGAAAAAAAAAGGAACATAGAATGAAAAATATATGCCTGATGCAATGCTGGCAATTGATTATGTGACAGAAATACCTTGGTGATATTCGAGGATGGCATTGAAATACCGAGAGAAAACCCCAAAACAATTCCCATAATTGCTGTGATGAAAACCTTGATGTTATCATTCGACTTTTTAACACTGCAGAAAGGCCAGCAAGCTAGATTTAAACATTCTGATTAAACGGACACCAAATATTTTTATTGTGGAAAAAAATCATTTCTTTGCATCTTAGCTTGATTGAGGCACATACTAGAAAAATTATGAAAGACTAAAGTGAATATAATCTGGTAAGCGAGCAAACACAATTAATCCATACCTTCGCTGCATTATTCCCCTCCAGTTAGAATCTTTCCGTATTAAATCAACAGATTTATCACCGGGAAATAGTTGATGTCCCTAAGCAGACTCTGATTCAAATGTGTCATCCTTTAACCACCATAACTGGAATTGAATAATATGCAGGTTAATAGTAGGCGTAGTATGCACTTGATCTTGCACCTACATTCGCGTATCTAGCCGGAATCATACCAAAGTGAAGGCAGGCATGGATGCATGCAAATCAAACGAGCATCTCATAAAAGCTATGTTGCCAGCGAGTTGGCACGTTGAAGTGTGTGTCATGTGCGGTTATAGGCTTGCATTTTCAGAGAGAAAGGATTGCAATAAATATTGTAATATGACAGTAAATGTTACGAAATATCGAGATCGATTACTGCTGAAGTAAAACATATGTATAAACGATCACGATGTTTCAAAATTAACAGAAACTTGGTTTTGTTTCCTCTGAATTTCCAACTTAAATACAGGCACCGCGCAGGCGATTCGTATCTAGATTCTTTAAGAATATAAAGGATCATCATATGGCAGCAGAAATAACAACATAAAGTCTTAATTTCTAAATCTTCAGCTGTCACCAGAAAGCTCAGTTTCAGCTTAAGTATGGCATGCAATTACCCATAAAAGGGAGAAATCATTCCAAAACCACGAACTACGAAGCGAAACTACCGTCGAAGAAGAATATTATCCAAATTGACAACCACATTACATCCTTGACCTGATGCTATCCCATCTATCTATACCTCGCAAAATGATAATCACATTTCAACAGTGCTTCCAATGAAGCAGACAACATGGATTAACAACTCTTAAAATACTCTAAAAGGTAAATGAAAATTTCTTCGAAGGCATCATCAAAGATCATTGCAACAGCTAGGCAAGAAGAAACATACAGAATTGATGGAGAGGCGATAAGGCTTAGACTCAGGCTCTTGTCGATCGAATTACAGAGAGAGTGACCGTTCGAGGAGCAAAACTGTTACGAAACTGAAAAACTGGCTTGTGGGGAATTATAATTTACATGATCGA